AAACTCGCTATATGTGAATACCCTAGGCCGGTAAAACTCGCTGTATGGGAATACCCTAGGCCGGTAAAACTCGCTGTATGTGAATACCCTAGGTAGCTGAAAATCGTTTAAAGTGAATTTCCTAGGTCGGAGACAGGACTTTAGAATACCGCAGTTAGAAAATTCTAGTAGGCGAAACCAGTGATAACGACGTTTGAGACGTTGGTTGGTACCTCTGATTTGGTGGCTCAACACTTTGGCTGTGTCGTTTTAAATTTAAACGCGTAAGTAATAATAAAAGTATATATAATAGTCCAATTCGAACGTCTAGTGGTCAGTCATTTCATTAAATTCACAGGTGTAACACACCTTGTCCCGTAGCTTGCCCTGTGCTTTTGTGTATGGAGAAAATGAATAAATACATTAGGAAAACGGCAATTGAGTGTCTAGGTATCAGTCATCTCCAAGGTTGTTTGGGCAATTGGATGCATTTCCCGTGGTTTGCCCGGTACTTTTCACATATATATTTAAAATAAACTCCGAAAATGGTATTGAGGGTCTAGCTATCAGTCATCACCTGGTGTATGTTACATATTTTAACGCCAAAAGTGGTGTGCAGTCCGGTACGTAAAAAAGTATAAGTCAGTTATCATCAATAAAAATTCAGATAAACGCATTTAAACCTGCCAGACAGGCAATCTGACCGCGTACAATGTTGGCGTAAAGGGGAAGTTGTACATGTATTAAGTATACAACGGGATAAATGCATTATAGGTTATTATAGGTATATACCTACACACGTAATTTTGCAATTATCATTGCTGTATATATGTATACATTTCTAATATGTAGTGAGTAAAGTGTGTTCACAAAAATCACCTCGAGTCCAAATTGTTATTGTCATTATTTTTTAATCACAGTACTTAGCTACATTAATATTTATTCAAAGACTTCTGAGTATCAAAAAACAATGATATTAGATTCCTATCAATCACATTTTAATATATAATTGTTTATATGTTAAAAAAAAAAATAGTAGTAAAAATAAAAACAAAATTATATTGTATTGTGATTGTATATAATATATTTATTGTGATATATTATCATATTTATATTCTTTCTTTGATATACATTTTGAATACCATGTTCAGCGTACACAATTGAAATTAATGAAAGCGTATGTATTGTAAAAAATGAATTGACCAACAAAGAACCGCATACATGCATGATTAATCTATAGTAAAGCAATAACAAACAAATAATAATTAAAAGTTATAAAAGATGTATATATGTATGTGTAAAATATAAATCTGAAATACAATTATTAATGTAATATTCACAAATTAAATGTTGTAAAAATAGTGTTAAGTTAAATACAAATGTTGTGTGTTTATTAGAAAAAAACTGATTATAATATAAAAAAATAATTAAAATTTATGTTTTTTTATTAAAATTATTATTGAAATTAATAGTGTTTAATGAATTTGTTTATATTTAAAAAAAAAAAAAAAAATGATAGTTTCACATTAGTTACAAAAAATTTGCTACAAAGTTAATTTGCATCCAGAGGGAACCACATGGAGGTTATTGAAGTTTCTCGTTGTCAATGTATTTACAGTCCATATACACTCTGTATTTGATTTTTTTTTTTTTGAACCAAAACTTTACGTATCAAGTGACTTGTTCATTGGCAGTGAGACACATTAATTAATTGTTGAACATACAAAAGTTATTATTTATTAACACACACGATTCATTAAACTGATATGTGTGAGATGAAATCTGAAACATAAAGTAAAATAAAAAAATTACCAAAAATACAAATAAAAACAAAATCTACTGCAGTAGTAAGTGTACTTACAATAGTTGCAATTGTATGCGTAAGATAAAAAACTGAAAAATAAAATGATAAAGAATTATATTACTAATATGTATATATTATATTATTAAAAATTATATTACTAATATGTATATAATTTATATTATTAAAAAAAAAAAAAAAAAAAAAAAAAAATAGAAAGTTTAATAATATTTATTGATTGGTTGTTTGACATTAGTTACAAATTATCTCCAAAGTTAATTTGCATCCAAAGAGAACCACGTGGAGGTTGTCAAACTTTCTCTCCGTCATTGAATTGGCTGTCCATAGGTGACCTGTAATCAATCATCAATACATATATCAAAACATAAATAAATAATGTAAAAGAAGAACTTTACATAGATCAGACAGTGGTCACATAGGTTTACCATGGATCACAAAGATCTGACATGGATCACAAAGATCTGACATGGATCACATAGATCTGACATGGTAAACCACACTGTCGAAACAATATCATTTCATAAATAAATATATTGCTGTTCCAGAAGAAATAATATATCTCCTATTATTCTTCTAATAATAATGATTTTTTAGAATACTTTTGATTGATTAGATATTATAATTATAATAACAGAAAAATTTTCTTATGTATATACACATACATTTTTACCATAACCAATCAATATATATTTAAATAAGCATCAATTCGTGTTGCTTAGAACACTTCTCTGTAGACAATATTTTTAGTGACAAATCTACCACGATCGTCACCGTACATACCAATTCTAATTGATTGCGAGTCCCTCACACGCGAAAACGCCACGTACAGTTGTCCGTGCGTGAAAACCGGTGAAGGCAGAAGCAATCCCACTCTATCAAAAGTTTGACCTTGTGATTTGTTAATGGTCATCGCAAAAGACAGCCGTACGGGAAACTGTACTCGTCGCATTATGATGGGCAGTTCATCTTCTCCACTGGATGTGAGAGGCATCGCAGGTATGACAATGTCTTCCTGTGCATTACCAGACAACATTCTCGCCTTAAAGTTGTAACGTCTCAGTTCAGTGACGACCAACCTTGTGCCGTTGCAAAGTCGCCTCTTTGAATCTAGATTCCTCAACAACATGACAATTGAACCTACTTTCAGGGTCAAGTTGTACGGAGGCAATCCGTCTGGTTCTAGAGTATTGAGGAACTCTGTCGGATAATTGGCTGCCTCATCGGGATCGTCTACCACCACAGTGTCGATGGCGGTGTAGCTTCTGTGTGCACCGTCGATGCGTTGTAGCACCGTGCGATTGACTTGCCTGCATTCATCGTTCCTGGGACATAAAATTATTTTCCGAGCAAACTCGTCGATGTTGACCAAAGACATTTGCTGTGGAAAAACAAAATCAATCAAATCTGCAACGTCACATACCATATGTCGAGGTATTTCGACGGTGTCCGGAACACCGTCGACCGTTGGCAACTGACCGCTCCCTAGCTGAAGCAACCAATTCGCAAAGTTCACGTCGTTGTCAGCGCGCATGTTTCGCGTCAGACTGAACTGTTCCAATTCGCGCCACAGAGCGTTGTACTTAATCGACGATCTGACGATGTCGCTCCTCGTTCCTCTGCGGACGACCGGTAATATTTGTCTAAAGTCGCCGGCGAACAGGACTGGTTTACCGCCAAACGGTAATTCCGATCCCATCACGTCCTTGACCAACCGATTCACCACGGTGAGTTGTAGTCCCGGAGACATAGGCGCTTCGTCCCAGACGATGAGCGCCGCGTCACGTATCCTCTGAGCGCGTGGCGACTGCATGGTGATGGTCGACGTCGAATCGTCGGTGAGCGTGCCGAACGGCAATCCGAACATCGAGTGCACAGTCGTACCGCCGTCCATGAGCGACGCTGCGATTCCGGTGAACGCTACGGACAACACGGACCGCCCTTGGCTGCGAAGCGACCATATGAGGCATCCGTACAGCGTAGTTTTTCCAGTTCCCCCAGGTCCGTCGACGTAGAAAAGTTTTGAGACGTTTCTATCGTCGTCTACAGCCGCCATAACACGGTCGAACACTGTCCATTGTTCGTCGTTCAAGTTTCCTACTTGTTGAACCCAGCGTACCGCCGCGTCTATTTGACCGAACATGCCACTGTCCGGATCCTCTTCCAGCAGTGCGACGTTCGGCAGAGGTAAACCGTAGTCATCGAGTGATTTCCCGTGACCCCGGAGTGACCGATCGATGGCGTCCAGACACGCCGCCCTCGCGCGCTCTACGTCTCGCATCCGCTGATAGAAGTCCTCCATCATGTGCGCTTCGTTGGCTTGGTACAACGTCAGCGGATCTGCGGTCTCGCAAAACAATAACATCGTCACGAATAGGTATCGAAGCTGAGATGGAGCGTCCAACGTTGCTGATTCTGCCATGCATGCCAGCAAAGCCCTGTCGTCTTCCAACAGTCCCATCGCGACTGCTGCAGCGGCGTAAGTTGGATGCACTACTCCATCTACTGTCCTCACGTCACGGTATGACTGCATGCCTCTCTTGTGCAGAAGTAGTAGTCGCAAATGGAAACGTTCTCGATCAAGCGGGTTGACGACGTACATTCGAGCCAGTGTTTCGTACGTCATCTGATTTTGTCGTCGTATCCATGTCCTTCGCGTTGCCTTCCAAGTGTAGTGTACCGGTATCTCTTGGTATAGGTACTGTCTGGCCTCGACGTCAGTCGCGTTGAGCGCGAAGAAGGCCGTGAGTTTTGTTCGAGCTAGAGCGGCGTTTTGCGCCCTCTCCAGTACCTGATTAGGAGCAAAGTACACGTTGTGATAATCTTCCAAGTGCACTGGAAGTCTAACGATCGTATGACTCCTCTTATGCATTTCAAACGAAAACAACCTCCAAACTGCTTCTGGTGGACTGACGTACCGTGAATTTATGTAACTGAAATCAACACGTATTCGCATTTAAAATGTACAACGTAATAATATAATTGGAAACGTTCTTAGTAGTAGTAGTAGTAGTAGTAGTAGTAGTAGTAGTAGTAGTAGTAAATTATAAAGAAAGTTGTACTTGTTAAATCCAAGTAGAATCGAAATCGAATCGAAATAAATATAACACAATGTTGGTCGTCAATCTAATAACTATATGTCTGTATACAGTATAATTAATTTAATGTATGTTATGGTATGCAATTTTATTAATTTAAAAAATAATAAAAAATAACGTACATTAATGTTTTGTTAATGTTTTGAGTAATAGAAAAGTAAAAAAAAAAATATAAGTGTATTGTAGTACATTCCTAATGTTATTAACCGACCTGTAATTAATTCTACAATATGGATTACACATTAAGCGGGAATATGCAATATTAAACGTTAGGTATTTGCACTTGATAATTTTAAGTTATCAAATTACAACAACGGTATTTTTTCATTGATGATGAAATTCATTTGTACTATATTTTTGTGGCTCTACATATCAATGAATTAAATGAAGTATAATCATTATTACAAATTAAGTTGTCATAAGTTGAAATTGAAATTTCAGTATTGATACAATTTCTTAAATAAGTTTTTTGACATAGTCTTAATCTTAAATCTTAAAAATAATTAAAAATAATAATATTGTGCAAGTGGTATGGGAAAAAAAAAAAATTAACAGGACAATTATTTAAATGTAATTGTTAGATCACAAATCAAAATGATAAGTTTCATTAACTCACTTTTCTATTTCATCTCCATTCCAAACTTCCACGGTAGCTGCGTCGTGACCCTTGTACACATATTTGTACAGATACATTACGCTCTTCACAGTAGAGCATACCTCAACGTTTATGTGTGCGTCGTACTTGATCAGTAAGTAAGGGTTGTACGGTACGACAAACTCATTTCCTACTTGTTGAGCTCTGACGTTTGCCACAAGTCCGTTATTCGGTCTGCGGTATGTTGGGTAACCGCCGTCGGATATGTACAAAGTCTCTTCGCTGTACTCTTTTGGATAGTTTTTAGAGCAAGTGTTGTCCACCATACACGGACTGTTACGGTTTAGCTGTCCACAAGGTCCGTGTATCATGTGTGATGTCACACTGTTGAATAGGCGTCTGTCGGTTTCAGGGTCGGGCAAACAGGCGCATACAACATCGTCAACGTCCTCGGCAGTGAGCAACTTACTGTCCTCGTGCAAGATGATGAGTATGTGTGCGTGCGGAAGACCGCGTTTCTGAAATTCAATAGTATAGACAAAAGCGTCTACGTTACCAAATACCTTATCAGTTGTTATATCACGCATCAGCTGCTTTAGTTTTGCGTGGAACACCCTCGCCACCAGATCGGGCCTGTCGTTAGCTTTCAACCAATGCGGAATGTTGTCTACGATTTCTGGCCACTTAGGGTTACATGTAAAAGTTATGAACAGGTCAGGTTTACCGTACTTACGCACAATGGCCATCGCGTCATGGTAAAATTGTTTCATGTAACGGGGACCACCCACAAACGTCGAAGGCAAAATCATCCTGCGACCGACGGGGTTGATTTCATCGACATGATGCTGTTGGTTTATGTGGTCCACAAGCCCCTGATACGCTTCGGCGAACAGCGCTTTCTGATTGAGTCTGGTGTAGCGCAAATTGTTCGCTTCCATCCGAACGTACTGATCACACACGTATTGCTGTAATAAAAAACCACCAGCATGTAATAAACTAAACGTTTGGCCGTCATTCCCATGTCCATTGTTTCCAGTATATCGAATGGCCAGACGGTAACACACAAACTCCCTGATGGTGTTTCGAACGCGAACAGCGTTGCGGCGGTTACCCTCTTGTCGCAGGTTGTACTGCCAACCGGATTCTCCGTATGGAAAGAACAGTGGATACAGCATGGGATCCGCATGAGGCGAGCCCACTGATATGCTTTGCATCCGGTGTTGTGCGTCCACCGGGTTCGTGTCATAGATGACCAGATCGAGGTTCCTCGGTGGCAGCCCGTCATCACCAACGAATACGACTGCTACTTCATTCGCATTACCAGTTGGTGGATTGTATCGCCGAGGGTCATTATTTGGGTCGGCGATGATGTGCATTGTCACTCTTCTCGGTCGCACCGTGGGATCAGCAGCAGCAGCTTCTTGTTCCCTCTGCCATACCTGTCGCATGGTCCTGTAACAAAATAATAATAGAGTTACCATTCTGAAGTCTATATTATATATATATTATTATTATATGATGATTAGGTTTAAGTCTCGTTTGGTGCAATATGAGCGGTTTAACGGCGATTAAAATTGGTCAATAATTGTATGTATATATTAAGGTGAAATAAGAATATGATAACGCACTGGTATTGTAAAATCACACATGTTAAATTTTATTCTTAAAAAAGTAGATATCTTAAAGAGTGAGTAGTGAATAAGATGCTAACTATGTACATCATCAGGATAAGAATAATTATAAATTATATGAGTATAATATATCGCAACACAATATTCTGAAATAATAATAATGAATAATGAATAATAACAACGAATTAAGTCAATTTAAGTAGCGAGTGATGTCATGAATGTGTACATGCAAATAATAGAATATCGATTGAAATATATTAACAAAAAACTATATGATTAAATTTTTTTTTGTTATACAACAACAATAACAACAACAAAGAAATAACTAAAAGTATCGTACAAAGTATGATGACAATAACGAATACAACAAATCCACAGTACACTCAAGTGCCATCATTGAGTTAAATTATGTAACGATTGTTATTATATAATTACATTATATAAATATATTATGTGTGTGTGTGTGTGTGTTGATTTTCAATGTGATGGGGTTTGTTTATAAGTGTAATGAATGTATATTTAATGTATTATTACTGAAAAGCCACTGCAAACGGATTGATTTGCCGTAACAGACTGTCTAACTCTGTAATCAAGTTCTCCAATAATGGATGTTGGCGTGGCTGTTGTGCCATTCGAATCCGATTGGCCTCCCCGGATTCAATGAAATACAACTCACAGTAACTCGGTTGCATCATTTCATTTCTGACGACATCGTTAGAAATCCTACGATACACCTGCCCGTGAACAGTAAACACTTTTGGTCCCCGACCTGGCAAACGTCTTGGGTTGAAGTCAGTGGAAAACGCAGCAAACGCCAAAGTGTTGTTGTATCGTCTGATTTCTTTTCTAAAGTGTCTGGCTACCTGTGAATCATCTATTAACAAATGAATTAATAACTCTGGAGGTTGACCCAACACGCGGTCACCCGTAATAGCCATTTGACCATTATTGCAACACGTTGAAAAATGAGTATTTCCAATCTTCTCACACCGGAAATGACGGCCATAACAGTGAGCGCAGGCGGCATCCAATGGTCCTATGTCGTGCTGTTCGGGAAGTTGGTGTCGAACGCCAGCCGGACGGTCTCTAACGGGCACATGTGCTCTGGGAGCAGCCAGGGGAATCGGTATGAACTGTAGTTTAAACAACAAAGTTGTAAAAAAACAATGTCATCTACTATTTTTATTTAATGTGAAATGTACACTGACTTCACCGTCGACGTCTGATGGGAAAACGTCGAATACATCCATGAATTCATATACTGCTGCAGCGTCAGCTGGCAGCATGTCTACAACCTCAATGTCCTCTAAGACTTGTGCCAACGGTTCTTCGTCTACGTCCGTCATGACATCATCGATTTGTACTTCAACAATTTCCACGTCCATGTCTTGTTCGCCGTCTGGCGCTGCAATCATCTGGTGCTGATTTTGTACTATCTGTAACATTATATGAGGTCAGTTTTAATGTGTGTCTGTATAAAATCATTGAAGTTTGGTACACATATAACGTTATACATTTTACTGTAACATTTCAACGTGTGGAATAATAAATAAGAATGATGTGTACTCCTTTGCTTGCAACAGTGGATGCTTTGTTGCCCAACATCTACTTGTCAAATCGATCAAATCAAAAAATATTTTACAATTACAACAATAATTAATAAATTGCTAGGTGTGCTATGTATGTGTGTGTGTGTGTGTGTGTGTGTGTATAAACATAGGTAGCAGTCATCACAATACAGTAGGATATTTGACATGTTATGTGTTATATATTTTATATTTATTATATATTATATTTGATAATGTTGTAAAAAAATTAAAAAATCACTCACCAAAGACGGCACTGCTGTGTTAAGCAAATGGCGACGACGTGGAGTGCCTACTTTGTAGTCTACACCAGGGACAAAATGCCTTGAACACAGAGCGGAGGTGGGATTTAACATTTGAACATCCACACCATTGTTCTCGGCGAACAACATCCACAGATGCCTAAAGTGATCATTCGTTGGAAACCTAATACAAACAACATATATATATA